GCTGGATTCTGTCGCGAGCAGGGCATTCGTCAGTCCTGGACGCTTCCAGAGTCCCCACAGCAGAATGGGGTTGCTGAGCGCCACATAGGCCTGGTCATGGAGATCGCCCGCACCTCCCTGACTCACGCCTGTGCCCCCCATTTTCTGTGGCCCTACGCGGTCAGGTACGCCGCGCACCAGCTGAACCTCTGGCCACGTGTCTCTCGACCAGAGGTTTCACCGACCAGTCTTTGGACAGGGTCCCCTGGTGTTGCGTCGCGGTTTCGTGTCTGGGGGTGCTTGGCTCTTGTCCGCGACACCTCCGCGGACAAGCTCTCGCCTCGTGCCGTCCCCTGTGTCTTCCTTGGTTTCCCTGAGGACTCCTCTGACTTCACCTTTTACCACCCTCCCTCTCACCGGTTCTTTGACTCCCGTGACGTTCGTTTCGAGGAGTCCACTCCGTACTACGTCAGGTACCCCAGTCGAGGTCTCCCGGTTCCTCCCCCCCCCCTCTTCCTGACTGCCATTCCCCCTTCTGCTCCCCCGGTACAGCCTCCCCCCCCTGGTCCAGCCCCGTCAGGTGTGTCCCAGGCTACCCCTCCTCCTTCGGTAGCCCCTCCGGTACAGCCTCCCTCCCCACAGTCCTCCTCGCAGCGTGCCGCTGGTGCTAGCTCTCGAGAGGTTGGTACGGCGCCTGTTCCTGTACCGGTTTCTGGTTCTGGGGGTGCTGGAGTTGGAGCTGGAGTTGGAGCTGGAGTTGGCACTGGAGTTTCTGGTTCTGGGGGTGCTGGAGTTGGAGCTGGGGTTGGAGCTGGAGTTTCTGGTTCTGGAGTTGGAGCTGACCCGGTGGGTGCAGAGGACTCTTGTCGTCCGGGAGCTGGTGCTGGCCACGCGGACATTGGGGGTGCTGCGTCTGGGGGTGAGGGTGCGCCTCCTTCGGGTTCAGGTGAGCCTGGGTCTGGAGCTGGTGTTAGTGCTGCCTCTGGGGGTGGTGCGCCTAGTTCTTCTGGGGTGGACTCTGGAGCTGCCGCTGCTTCGGACACTACTCCACCCCCCCACCCCTACCCGACTAGGCACCAGGCTCGTGTTCGCCGTGCCCGTGACGAGCAGCTGGCGTTGGAGAGAGAGGAGAGGGAGTTACAGCGCCTGGAGGAGCAGCAGCAGCAGCTGGAGCCGCAGGAGCAGCAGCCCGCAGGAGCAGCAGTCTCAGCAGCAGCCGCGTCCGCAGCAGCAGCAGTCGCAGCCGCAGCAGCAGCAGCCACTTCCTCCTCCTGTCTCGGGTCTTCGGATCCTTGGTCTCCCCTCCCCTTCTCCTCCCTCCTCCGCCTCTCCTCCTGTCTACGGTCCCACGTTTCCTCCTCCTGACTCCTCCCCCGCTGTTTTCCCCAGTTCTCCGCCTTTGTCCTCTCCTCCTCCGTCTCGTTCTTGGGCTACTCGTCGCTACCCTCGTGCTCGTCCCTCGTCTCCTGTTCCCTTCACTGACCTTCGTACTGCCTTCCTTCTTTCTAGTCCACCTCGTCCGTCTCAGTCTGTGCTTCCGTCTCCTCCTGAGTCGGCCCTCACTGTGTCGCTCCCTACTCCTGTCACTGACTACTATCGCACGTACCGTCCTGTTCTCTCTCGTGTTCTCGCCTCTCTTGTTACTCACCCTCGTGCCTCTGTGTCCGCTCTTACTGCCGCAGTTACTGACTTTGCCTCTACCCGCCGCCTTGACTACGCCACCACGCTTGTGGCTGCTCCTCCTACCAGTCCTCTGGCCGTCGGGGGTGTGTCTGCCCTTGGCTGTGACGCCCTAGAGGACAGGCAGTTTGAGCTAGAGTTCCTGGCGGCCGCTTCCCCTCATCTCTGTGCCATGCTCCTCGCCCCTGAGGGTGACCCCGACGCCCTTGACATTCCGACTCCTCGCACTTACGCTGAGGCAGTGTCAGGGCCTTGGGCCTCTCAGTGGAGAGCTGCCATGGACGCAGAGATGGCCTCCTACAGATCCACAGGCACCTACGTCGATGAGGTTCCCCCCCCTGGGGCGAACGTAGTCGACGGCATGTGGATCTACAGGGTGAAACGGCCACCGGGATCTCCCCCGATCTTCAAGGCGCGCTACGTGGCTAGAGGTTTCAGTCAGCGCGAGGGAGTTGACTTCTTTCAGACCTTCGCACCTACCCCGAAGATGACCACTCTTCGGGTGTTACTACACGTAGCAGCACAGAGAGACTACGAGTTACACTCTCTCGACTTCTCCACTGCTTTCCTTCAGGGCAGCCTACACGAGGAGGTCTGGTTGCGTCGTCCCTCGGCCTTCACTTGCACCTTCCCTCCTGGGACCCAGTGGAGGCTGAGGCGACCTGTTTACGGTCTTCGCCAGGCCCCTCGTGAGTGGCACGACACTCTGCGTTCTACCCTCTCTGACCTTGGGTTCCAGCCGTCTTCTGCCGACCCGTCGCTGTTCGTTCGTCGTGGCTCCACACCGTTCTTTGTTCTGGTTTACGTCGACGACCTCGTTTTCGCCACTCCGGACAGGGTTGCTTTGGCAGACGTGAAGTCCGAACTGCAGAAGAGACACACGTGCACTGATCTTGGTGAGCTGCGCCACTACCTTGGCCTGCAGATCACCAGGGACAGAGCCGCTCGCACCATTACACTCTCACAGTCACACATGGTGCAGCAGGTCCTTCAGCGGTTCGGGCTTCAGCACTCCACCGTACAGCGCACACCTCTAGCTGTTGACCACAGACTCACTGGTCCCTTTCCTGACGAGCCGTTTGAGCCTAGTGGTCCCTACGCAGAGCTTGTGGGTTGCCTCATGTACCTGATGACTTGTACTCGCCCGGACCTCGCCTTCCCTCTCAGCATCCTTGCGCGCTTTGTTGCGCCAGGGAGACACCGTCCTGTTCACTGGACGGCAGCTGTGAGGGTGGCGAAGTACCTAGCGACTACATCAGGCGTGGGGCTAGTTCTTGGAGGGCAGCAGTCTGTCCTACTCACTGGTCACTGTGACTCCTCTTACGCTGACGACGCTGAGACTCACAGGTCTACTCAGGGGTACTGTTTCAGTCTGGGTTCTGGAGCTGTTTCCTGGCGTTCCACGCGCTCCTCTTCTGTCTCGACCTCTACAGCTGAGGCTGAGATTTACGCTGGTGCCATGGCGGCACAGGAGTTGCGGTGGTTGACCTCCTTGCTCGCCGACCTTGGTGAGCGGCCGAGCTCTGCACCGACCTTGTTTACTGACAACAAGGCGTCGATCCTCCTCTGTCGTGAGCCGCGACTGGAGAGCAGAGTGAAGCACATTCACGTCAGGTACTTTCTTCTGCGAGAGTTGCAGAGGCGTGGACAGGCTCGCTTCGAGTTTGTAGAGTCCGAGGCCAACACTGCAGACATCTTCACCAAGGCGCTTCCGCCTTGTGACCACCAGAGGTGTTGTGTGCAGTTAGGCCTTGTTGACACAGGTTCTAGTCATGCGTAGACTTGAGTTTATTGCCTGCTTCGTCTGTACATTTACTATATATACTTGTGATCTCTTGGACTGGCCTTGTGGCCACTGTTGCTTGTGCTCAGAGTGTGTGGTGACGTTGTGATCCACCCTGAGCTTTGTTTTCTTTTGGACTGGTCTTGTGACCGTACTCTTTTTTGTTTTTGCTAGACACCCCTCACTTAGGCTATGGGGGTGTGTCAAATGTTGTAGCCTGTAGTGAGGTTTGTCTTAGGGGGTACAGAAATTAGGGTTTGTCATATGTACCCCAACCAACATCAATGCAACACTCATTCCTCATTCTGACAATTCCAGGTCCATACTTTCAGATTCCTCTCAAATTTAGCCGTGGGTTGACTCAAAAAGTACTACTTTCTAGAATTTCACTCACGCGAGGCCCAAAGTATGTTAAAAACTGGTCCTGCAGGGCGAAGTTTTCGACACGTGTCCAATTTCGCTTTGAAAACATTTCGACGGGGCAAAAAATAATAAAACCCCTCGGGACCTAGGGCACATTTGCGGGAGGGAACAACCCTAAACACCAAGCGGGTCCTCGTGTTTAGGGTTGGTCCCTCCCGAACGTGTGTCCTGGTTCCCCTAGGGGTTTTATGTTTTTTGCCCCCGTCAGAAATTGCTAATAAGATATAGGACACGTGTCGAAAATTTTGCCTCGCAGGACCAGTTCTGAACACAATCTGGGCCTCGCGTGAGCAAACTTCCAGAAGGCTGTACTTTTTTAGTGAAATTAAGACTAAATTTGAGATATTTTTGAAACTATGGAGCTGGGATATACTTTCCCGAGTGTGTAACCAGGGTACAAATAGCCCCCGTGGCAACACCTTGTATGCTGGACACGTGGCTACAATTGTGTGCACGAATTGTGGGGTGTCTTCGTTGTGCAACTTCATGCACTGGCGAAGCGCTCGCCCGTTTCGCCAGCTGTTCGGACGTGCTGCAAATCACACACGCTCGCATGAACGTGAGCACGCACGTTCGCGCCTCCGACTCGAGTCAAGTTCATATTTCAAACTCGAACTTTTGCAGAGCCCATACAATGCTTGGTTCGCAAAGCTTCCTTCGCGAAATTAGCGAATAGGGTAACCACCCAAAGTTCGAACTTTATTTTGAACTTCTAAACAGACCACACGCGCCCTTACAATTCATGAAGGGATTTTCAACATTTTGCCATGAATCCCACTTTCTCCAGGTTTCACAGGAGAACTCATCCAAGGTGCTGAGGTACAGAAGTCGTTTCTACACAAGCTCACGTGTTGGACGAGAAAAGAGCAGTATTAGCTCCTGTGTATAAGCTGCAAAAATGCTGACATGCTTGACGAGTAAACAGTAACTGTGGTACAGTATGTGTAAATTGCAATGCAATCTTGGCAACACTACCTATGGGCATGACAAGGAAGAAAGCCCTTGTCATTGTGTATGAAGGCCTCTCGCCTGTGTACTAAGTGTCTCTTCGACTGATGTGCCATCCATCGCAAAATGCATCTAAGAAGGCCAGTAACACAACCTTTCGTGGTCCCACCCTCAAAACCTCCTCACCTCATCCGAACAGCTTCTTGAAAATTTTTTTCGCCCTCCCTTCCTTCTCTGGGGCCGTCCCATTCCCTCCATTCGCCCCATCGGAAGCACTTGGCTCATCAGCTCCATCGCCACTGCTGTCTCCGTTATCGCTGTCCTCGTTCCCGTTCCCACTCTTATCTTTCTTCCTCCTCCCAAACAGCCCCTTTCTCTTCTTCGTTGGCTGCTCTGTTGTGCCATCCGCACTTGATCCTGATTCCTCCTCCCCACTGCTGCTGCCGCTGTTCGTGTTGTCCTCAGGGGCAGGGGGCGGCGGAATCGTTTTCTTTTTCTTGCCCGATGACCCGGTCTTCCCTGGAGTTTCGGCAGCACCACTGCCCGTGCTGCTCTCTCCGCTTCCTTTCTTTTTGGTCGGTGCAGGGGGCGCAGGTGGGCTCGCTACTTCTGCAGGTTGATCCTTATGTTTCCCTTTTTTCCCAGTGGGAGGGGCGGGTGGGCTAGGGCTACCATCAGCAGGCGGCTCCTTTCCCTTCTTTCCCTTCTTCCCAGCAGCAGGAGGCGTGGTCGATTCAACAGGCTGATCCTTCTTTCCCTTCTTCCCAGCAGCAGGAGGCGTTGTCGATTCAACAGGCTGATCCTTCTTTCCCTTCTTCCCAGCAGCAGGAGGCGTGGTCGATTCAACAGGCTGATCCTTCTTTCCCTTCTTCCCAGCAGCAGGAGGCGTGGTCGATTCAACAGGCTGATCCTTCTTTCCCTTCTTCCCAGCAGCAGGAGGCGTGGTCGATTCAACAGGCTGATCCTTCTTTCCCTTCTTCCCAGCAGCAGGAGGCGTGGTCGATTCAACAGGCTGATCCTTCTTTCCCTTCTTCCCAGCAGCAGGAGGCGTGGTCGATTCAACAGGCTGATCCTTCTTTCCCTTCTTCCCAGCAGCAGGAGGCGTGGTCGATTCAACAGGCTGATCCTTCTTTCCCTTCTTCCCAGCAGCAGGAGGCGTGGTCGATTCAACAGGCTGATCCTTCTTTCCCTTCTTCCCAGCAGCAGGAGGCGTGGTCGATTCAACAGGCTGATCCTTCTTTCCCTTCTTCCCAGCAGCAGGAGGCGTGGTCGATTCAACAGGCTGATCCTTCTTTCCCTTCTTCCCAGCAGCAGGAGGCATTGTCGTGTCAGCAGGCTGATCCTTCTTTCCCTTCTTTCCAGCAGCAGGAGGCGTTGTCGATTCAGCTGGCTGATCCTTCTTTCCCTTCTTCCCAGAAGCAGGAGCAGCAGGAGACGTTGTCACTTCAGTTAGGTGCTCCTTCTTTGTCCCCTTCTTACTGTCAGGTGTGGCAGGAACGGGCCTGCTGATGTCAGCCGGTTGCTTCTTCTTTCCAGAGGACCCAGCGCTGCTGCTGCCACTGGGAGCAGGAGGAGACTCACCTAGTCCCGTTTGGCCCCCTTTCCCTTTTCCACTGCTGTTGCTCTTTCCGCTGTTGCTGCTTCTAGGTCCAGCACCGCCGCTCGTGCTTGGCTTGCCACTGTCCGCGTTTCCAGCCGAATCCGCTCCTGGTTTCTTCGCAGGCTTCTTCTGGGTACCACTCGAGGTCTGAGCCGGTGTCACATTGCCTGCAACTTCCTTGTTCTTCCTGTTGCCTTTCTTGGCTGAAGACGCAGGTCCCGCAACGCCGCGGGTTACGGCTGCAGGGTCCGCGATCCAGTTCATTTTGTTGATGTAGTCGTTGCTCAAGTACGGCTTCACCTCCTCCGCACTCATTTCCGTCCCGATCTCCCACGCACTTGCATTGTAGCCTGGACCAGAGCAGCCGTATGCGCCGAATGTAACCGTGTCCATGTCCTTATAACCACTAACGTAACTCCAACCTTCCGCCCGAACGGACGCCTCGGCGAAATAGGTGTTGATGAAAATGACGGTCGAATAATCGCCCCACGAACGCGCGAGATAGCCAGGCTTGATGGGGCCTTTGCCGTACGGCCGGAGAGAGCCACCCTTGATTACGAAACCCGTGTTCTGCTCCTTCCCGCGTGCTTGCGCGAAGTACGCGCCGCCCCAGTAGACGAGGCGGAAGTTGCAGTCCTCGAAGACGGCCTTGGCGTTGCCGAACACGAAGTCCATGCGCCCGTGGATGTCTGCGCGCGCGCAGGCGGGAGACACGACGGTTAGGTCACACAAACAATGATGATCTATGGAAGACGTCCGATACATGTCCAGAAACCGAATGTACTTACTGCAACCCTTGTAATATTGCAAGCCAGACGCCGCGTAAAGGGTGTCCTGCAAGGAATGGGACCCACGGACAGGACGGGGAAGGAGGAGAAAGGTGGGAGATCAATCTGAAAAGGCGAGGTATGCGGCTATGCTCACGTGCAGAAGAAGCTGGACAATGGACCTGAGTTGTTGATCACATGCGTGCGAACGTCCACGGTGTAAGTCAACGTGAGATCACCCCCCTGAAGGACGGTAAGAATACTCCAAACCTCTGGTCGTGCTCACCTGATACCCGAGAAACGTGCATCCGTAGAAGGCGACGCGCGTGCCGGCCACCTTGATTGCCAAGGCTTGGTCCTCGTCCCTGTGGGATGGACATATCAGGTACGAGGACATCAGGCCGACACAAGGACATCAAGAGCTGCTGGGAAACTTCAAGCTTGTGGAAAGAAGCGCCGTTGAAAGCAGTAGAGGCAGCAGAGGTCGAAGCGTTGCATCTCGTACCCGCCCTGCTTGCCCGGTCCGTGCGCGTTTTCGAAGATGATGTTGGAGACGACCACGTCCGACGCCAGCAGCTGGAATGTCGCGCACTCGTCCAGACTTGAGTCGCCCGCCGCACTCGACGACGTCACCTTCGCACCGCTGCCGGCCATCTCGCCCACCAGCGCCACGTGGTGTAGCGAAGTCGGCATCTGTTGAGGATACGTCGCGATGCGAGTGGACCAGAAACGGCTTCTCAAATACAGCTTTTAACATGAATGCGGGACTGAAGATACAGCAATATAGTAAGATGCGAGAGAGACGGGCAATATAGCGTTCATGTCTCACCACTGGCTGCTCCTCGTACACGCCAGCCCTGATAAGGATGACCGTGAAACGATCCCTCTTGCCGGACCACGCTGCCTTAAGTGCTTCCTGATTATAACGCACGTGGAGCAGATGTCAAAAGGCCATTCGTGAATGATAGAAAAATAACGAGTTCGACAAGAATAAACAGTGGGACGAGAGCAAACATCGGTCGGCAGGCAGATTTGTGCATGACAATGCGGTGATGGCCCGCCAACCAGTGAAGCTTCTACGCCTAAATAACCGAACGGATAACGGAGGTCACGAACGTACACTAATTGTGGTAAAATCGCCGCTGCCATCTTTCGCGACAACGATATCCGCTCCGCCTTTACCTTCCACGCCTGCTAACGCTTGTGTTCCCTCTCCAGGTACCATGACGAATAGCAGGAAGACTGCTGCACAGAAAAATCTGCTCCATTCCGCAGATGATGCTCGGATGCGGAAATGCACCCTCGAGCACATGTCGCGCGAAGAGTTGTTGTTATGCGTGGAAGTTTGGTCGAATCCGTAAGGGGTGGTGCAAAGTGGAATCTGTGAGATCGTTCGCAGGTAGCACAGAAAAAATCCGCTTGCATTATTTACGCTGGTCAACATAATACCTGTCGACAGGAGTATATGTATGTATGTATGTTCCTTCCAGGTTGAGTTGGGAATTTGGATTGGGGGACCGCACCGAGACGCGCATCTCTCCCTTTCTCGGACATGTGCGGGCCGCGAAATCTCATTCTTTGCCTCGTAGACTGAACAATTTCACCACCACCAAAACGTTCCATTCAAGTGATCGGCCACGTTTCAACTCACATGTACAGCGCGAAAGCACAAACGTGCGAATTTTAGAAAATACAGCGGTGCGGCTCAAGATGGGCGTAACGGTACTCAAGAAGAGTGTGATAATATGCCATCTAGACGTGATTACATAATGAGGCTCAGGAACAATTGGAATATAATTCACAAAATCCAGACTTCAAGAGAGCTTCTACGTGGTTGGTAGCCTTCCGCGTTAGGTCATTGTGATGCGGGGATTTGACTATGCTGCATAGTATTGGCCGCCCGAACTGATTGTTAACGCGCAATCAAAACGAGAAAAAAAAGTGAAGTGGATTAGGAAATGTGTGCTCACCCTAATGTATTGACCACATTTGACACCCCCTAGCCTACGTAAAACGGGGGGGCGGACAATGCACGGCAGACAAGAAGCAAGTCAGGGCAGCACTACTGGTCAATGCCTATGACACAAGTGGTCACAAGACCAATCCGCAAGAAGAACAGGACTATACACAACAACTCGAAGTGGTACTACCGCTATCCCAACCTCTAATAAAAAAGACCACAAGGCCAGTCCAAGGGTACCACAAGCAAACCAGAGGCAAAGCAAACACATATATCAGCAACCTTACAAGCGAGGGCTTGCTGGGACAATGCCTACCGTAGCTGAGTGCAAACCCGATGATAATCACGAGGCTGAAGCCCCGTAGTAAAGATATCGACAGTGTTGGCCTCCGAGGCCAAAATGACCACGGAGTGTCACTCTCCAGCGGGAGGTGAACTATGTTGGAAATCACGGGTTGTACTGGTTGATCAGAGCTTTGCTTATGTTCTCACTACTTGCTGTGTTTGTAGGTGATATTGTCAAGAGTTTCACTATGAAAAGAACAACAGCGATATACACAATGGCAAAGGTGTCAACGGGGGTGGAGTGTTGGCTCCGCCCTCGCTTGGGCAACGCGGACGACTTGGTCGGATGAACGGGAGAAGCACCTGACTGTTCGCAGTGAAGAAGCTGCTCGACGGGCTTCGTCGAGCTGCATAGGGTCACTGTAGAGTTGCTGTTGACCAGGAGTGCTCGACGGCCTTCTTCTGCGAGGCAGGTTGGCGATGTAGCTGTCGACCTACACAGGACTGTCATGGGGCTGGAGCCGTCGACCAGGGAGCTCGACGCTGTAGCTGACTGGGCTGGGCGACGGGTGGGCTGTCGACCACGAGGGGCATTTCGACCAGGAGGCCGACGAGCAGTCCGTCGACCTGACAAGTGAGAAGTGGTCGACGAAGGGAGCTCGACGACAACAGCTGACATTTCTGGTCAACGGAAGGGTCCGTCGACTAGGGGGTAGCTCGACGGGAGCTGTGGTTGACCAGAGGCATCTGGTGGTCGACCAGAGGCACTTGGTGGTCGACCACAGGCACCCGGTGGTCGACACCAGAGCATTTGGTGGTCGACCAGGTCGACTGGGTAACCTGCTCGGCGAGTTCTGCGGGGGCACGCGAATGTCGTCGAGATCGCGGTGAGGAAGACGACTTCAGGCTGGTATCCCGAAGTCAATGTGGCTCGTCAGGCGCAGACAACAGCCGACAGATGCACAACGATGCAAGTCGGGCCAATCGTCTGCGCACACCTGCGAGCGTGCGCACTGCTGTCTTCTACGGGCCAACGCTGGACAACCGCTCTGCTGCAGGGTTGGCACGCCGTCGACCTGCAGTGTTGGTAGGTCGCCTTTTTGCAGTGCTGGCGCGACTCCTCTACGCAACGCTGGCAGACAGTCGACCAAGTTGTGCTTGCGGTCGACCAGGCTATCTGCAGGGTTGCTAGGTGCCTTTTGTAGTTATTGTTGTCATTCCTTGTTCAACCAGTATGTAATTTCGACTTTGCCTAGTGGAAACTCTTGCCGATTTCTCCCGTGAATGTGCAAGCTTCAAGGAACTAAGCAAAGCTACCATCACTCCTAGTAGTTCGTGCCAACCCCCGTAGTCTAGCTCACTACCGTTGTAGAGTGACTCTCCGCAAAAGGAAGCCGATATAGCATAACACAATGCAACATAGCAATTCAGCAAGTTTGTTCCACGACAGCACGATGGCGCAAGATGGCGGCGTGCCAACACAGCTGGAGGGCGTCGTGCCAACGCTGCAAGATGGCGGCTTGCCAGCGTTGCACCAAGGCAGCCTGCCAACGCTCTAGCGGCTCTTGACCATGTGTGCACATGTGCACACCTACCAAAGTAGGTGCACGTCTGCTCAACAGATGGTGGTGTGTATGTCTTCCACGCAACGCACGCCAAACCTGCACCCAACATCGCATTCCCGAGGTTCCCGCATAGAGTTAAAATTGGGAGCTTCCTAGGCTAGGAGAAACTTTAGCTTAGGAGCATAGAGATAGTTACGAGAGGGAAAGGAGATGGCCAACAGAGGGGTATACTATGAAAGACAGAACAAGATGTAGGCAAGAAATAGAAGGTGTAGCTCCTGCTAGAGATGATGAGATAACTACAGTAGGCTACACTACAGGCAGTTATATAAATGTATGCAAATACATTCCAACACACCCCTCAACTGCCTGCAGTGAGAACCATATCCAGCAACACCCCTTGAAGCGGTACACCAAGACAGAAAAAGCGGTAGCACAATGCAGGTGCAGTAGTAGCAAGTGCTATTGTGGCAGATGCTGCTGCCGTAAACCTTAGGCCACGGCAGATGCAGCGGCGGGTTCAGGTGGCGGCAGGTCGCCTGAGGAGCACGTGCTGTGGCTGCAACGAGCAGCAAGACTACATGGCTTGACGGCAGCACCTCCGGGGGAGCCAGCAGCAGGCGGGTGCAGCAGGTGCAGGTAGAGGTAGGTGGGGCAGCAGCAGGGGCCACGATGCCGACATGCTACAGCTCAATACGCTGGGTGGTTGTAGAGACGAGTCGGAGTTGGCGCAATAGATAGAAATATGGAAAGGTAGTAATGAGAGGAGGGGGCGCATGGCGCTGCATATGCTCTCCTATCACCCCCTCAACCCCCCGCCCCTCCTTGCAGCAACAAGCGTTGCAGGAAGAGAGAGGAGGGTGGCAGCTAGTGACCCTTCGCTGGTCACCCCCACCACCCCCTCATCTTCCCACCCCACGGAGGAAGGCACGGAAGGGAAGTAGGGGCGTCACACATTGCTACTGCCGGTAGCGCGCAGTCGTGGGGCGCGTGCTGCTGCGCCTGGTCGCAGACGGGCGTGGGGCGGTGCGCTGCTGCATACGGTCGCGCACTGGTGTGAGCGGTGTTGGAAACAATAAGTCCTAAGTGCGCTTCTGTCGTATCAAAATCCAAGGTACCAAGCGAAGCAGTCCCAATCGAAGCATCGAGTCAACCTCGGAGGTTAGGGTAACCGCCTGGAGGTTACGAGAAAGTCAAAGGTCGCTGACCTTTGACTCGACAATTACAGCGCGACAGTTAAGGACACACAACTGACTCGTTACAGAGCAGTTGCCCGAGTCGCGCTATATCGAACCGCAACAGCAATACAGTTATCTATCTATTCCCTGTACTCTTATATAAATCCTTGTATTTGCTTGTTTAATTCAATCAACTTTGCTCTCACACACCAGTGCAAGGTCGGTTCAAATTCTTCACTAAACGCTTCCGCTATTACAACTACTTCACCTAGAGTTATCCCTTGCAAAGATCCTAAGGGGCTATCTCAGCCCAACATGGTATGAGAGCAGACAAGGGAAACTCTACTCTTTTTTTCAAGATCATTACAAGACATGGCAACAAACAAGGAAAGGAGCTCCCCTAATGGCTCCTCGGGCACTACTCCTACTCCACCGCCAGCCTCTGGCCTGCAGACAGAAGAAGGCACGGCAACAAGACCAAGAGGAACGTCAACCGAGACCCCCATGAACCACCCTTCGGACTTTGACCAGAACATGATGGAGAAATTTTTCTCCTTCATGTCCTTCTACGAACAACACCAGCAGTCGGGACCTGCACAAACACACAACAGCAACAACGGAGCCACACCCATGAGTCTTGATGGGTCGTCATATGCGCGAGGAAACCAGCAGCAGCAACCTACCTTTGCTCCGTACGAGCGCGGGTCAATCAGCTTCGTACCCCACCCGCAACCTTCACCTGGACAAGAAAGACCACTGGACGCACTTCAAGTTCAGTCGCAGTTTGCACACGTCTTAAAACTGCAAACGTCAAGACCCTTCGACGGCAAAGACTTCTTTACCTGGTCTTTTGAATTCGAGCTGATGATGGAGGGCGCGCAGATACTCGGCTTCTTCGACGGGTCCCTGCAGTATCCAGCCAACGGGACATAATATGAAAAGCAGCAGTATACGTATCAATCAATGATGGCGTATACAATCCTATTGAGGAACGTGACACCAACTCAGCAGCAGAACATTCGCTCTTACCGGACCTTCGGCAACTCGGCGGAGCTCGCGTACAGCCATCTGAAGAACCTGTATCAAGCAACAGACAGTGTAAAACAGAGCAGGTTAATGGCGCAGTTGACGACAGTCGAAATGAAACCAGGAGAAAAAGGACTGGCGTATATCAGCCGATGTCGCGAACTGCGCGACAAGCTGCTTCGATGCGGAGGGTCAATCTCTGAAGACGCCTTCGTGACAGTCATCATTGGTGGGCTTGGTCCTCAGTGGCGCGCCACCAAAGCCATTCTTCGAGCCCACGGAAGAATCTCTGAAACTG